ATATATAAAGATGGAGAATTTACTGGAGGACTAGCGTAAGCTTCAAAAGCAAAACCAGCAAGAATGACAGCCAAATTAATATCAAAAGGAGGCCTTTCATTCTCCTTTTCAGCTGATGAAAACGGTATTATCTCACCACTAGCTTGACAATTACAACACAACAATTCTTTAGCACCAAATTTTGGATAATTCAAGAACCCATTAATTTTTTTGGAGAAAAAAAGTTTCTTGGAAAAGGAAACTGAATTGGGGTTCTTGAAAAGAAGCAATCTTGGTGAAGAAAAAATGGGAATGGGAAATTGGAGATGAGTCTGCAGAGTAGCCATGAAGTGGCAGTTGGGTGTAATTTAGTGGTGGAAATGATGAGATTTTGGGAAGAGAGTAATAAGGAATGTGTTCCCAATCCGTACCAAAATATTTAAAGGAAATTGTCTAAATTTGAACGGAAAAAATAGTATACTTAAATCTTTATATTTTTTAATATATATGTGTACCTGATTTAAAAAATATTATATACTTAAAGTAATTTTTATACTCTTTCCGGTACTTAATAAGTGACTTTTTGGCCTTTGGCACACCCTTTAAAAAAATACTAACTCCTAAAAGAACAAAAGATATTTTAACAAAATTATCCTTAATTAAAATTAGCATATTATTAACTTGACATATTGGAATTTGTAAATAAGGGCAAAGTTTAGAAAAACAAAGTTAATTCCTTGTTGATTATATAAAAGGTCACTTATTTTGGACCAAAATAAAAAGGTAAAAAAGTCACTTATTATTAATCAAAGGAAGTAATAGAGTATAAAATCATTTATTTTGTTACTGAAAATTATTCTACAATAACAACAACAAAAACAAACCAAGTATATTCCCACACTGAAAATTGTTCTACGCTGCTGAATTTATGCCCAACTAAAAAATTTCTATAGATTGATAATTTTAGGTGAAAACATTTCTATCGATATCAACGCATGAGATGATTTTCTAAAATGAAATGCGTGTACGCAAGTGGGAGGATATGGAAGGAACGAGAAAACACTAGCGCCAATTACTAACGGTATTGTCTGGAATTTTTCATCAGTTTTCTCTTTTCTCATCTAATCTAGATTTGATTAACTTATATAGCCGATGAAAGAATTATATATATATATATATATATATATATATATATATATATATATATATATATATATCATGTTTAATTATTGTATAATCTGTATATACTAATTAGAAAAAGTAAACATTGTATTGAGTAAAATCGGTTGATAACAAGTGGCTAAATAGCAAGGTGACACGTGGAATTGAGAACAGACAAAAGTTGTATCGGCAAATAATCGATATTGATTATGAAGTGCATAACCGGTACAGGATGGATCCCGACAGAAGCACAATCGATGGTAAAGACTTAAAGGCTTGACATCGGATAGCATAAATTTAGTAGTCGTTATAGAGAATATATGCATTCAAGGCCAACCGTTATGCACCCATCAATGGTATTTTTATTCTCATTCAAGAGCAGCTTGATTCTAGGATCATGTATCCCTAGGTAGAGCTATATATAACAGAATTAACAACCATTGTAAGGATACAAAACATTCTGCCCACAAAACTGTACTTCACTATTTTACACTCTATCTAAAGAATTTTATCATTGCCCTATCTTTGTTTCTGCTTTTGCTTTTAGAAAGACCGAGCCCAAGATCAGGCTTGCCTTTTCTCTCTAATTTTAGTCTTTAAGCTTATTTTTTGTTCCGTTTTTTTTTCATTTTAGGATCAAATCAGTTTGCTTGTCTATAAACCACGTTATAAATTCAGTTGTACCGTTTTACGAATAAGCAGTTTGGTGTCCACCGTGGGGGATAGACAATTATGTAATTGCTTTGATCCATTCATTTATTACTAACGAGTTTTGGTTCTTTCCTTAGTAAAAACCAAATATGACAGATAATGGAGTTAACAACACTCACAACGCAGGAACACACGGTGAACAGGAAGAAGTATTCCAGCTGATGATTCCATCATCGAGACCCGCAACGAAAGGGATGAAACAACCACGGTTCATGAAGGTCAGTACCCTCGGCATGTGCGAGACCCAACTCCCGATGATGCTGATGATGAACATGTTGTAGAGATGGTCAAACTTCTAAAAGAGTAACAGAGAGCAATCATGGATCATCTCTCAAGGCAAGATCAAGTGATGACTGAGTTAAAACAAGCATTGCCAGGTGCTTCCAATAACACAAACGGAAGGGGCCCGATTCCCCCTAGTGTTCCCGCAAATCAAACGGCTCAGAGAACCGATAATAACACCCAAAGGGTCGAAGTCGTTTCGATGAAGCCAGAGGGACCGGTAGTGGATCTGGGAATGACAACGGGAGTGATCCTTTCAAAATCGAGCTCGTGAGTTCATGAGAGAGATGAACGAGTGAATGGATCAGAATGCGAAGGAGTTTCACGCACGGATAGATCAGATCCCGGGCGCACCACCAGCGTTAAAGGGCCCAAATTCAAAAAAGTACATGCAGTTGCCGTTTAAGCCAAGTGCAGCACCAGTGTTAATTCCAAAAAGATTCAATATGCTCGACATACCAAAATATGATGAAAATTCGGATCCGCAGGAGCATATCACAACCTACACCATGGCGGTGAAAGAAAATGATTTGGCCCAACATGTGATCGAGTCAGTTCTGGTGAAGAAGTTTGGCGAAATCATCACGAAGGGGGCCCTAACATGGTACTCCCTCTTACCCCCAACATTCAATCGATTATTTTGAGATGCTTGCAGATTTGTTCATTAAGGCCCACGCTGGAGCAAGAAAGGCTCAAGCCAGAAAGGCGGACATATTCAGAATTTTACAAGGAGAATCCGAGTTGTTACGAGAATTCATAATCCGGTTCTAGAAAGAAAGGATGTTACTACCAGTTGTTCAAGATGAATGGGCAGCGGAGGCATTTACAAAGGGGCTCAATCCATTGAGTTCTGACGCCTCCCGATAATTGAAGAAGAGCTTGCTTGAGTTTCAGGCAACCACATGGGCAGATGTCCACAATTGCTACGAATTGAAGAAAGGGATAGAATACGACCAACTTGGTTCTTCTGTATCATCCAAAGGACGAGGTCGCGCTAAAAAAATGATCGGTTGAAAATGACTTTAATGTAGATCGAAGGTCCTCTAGAGGTCGTTTTTTACCGTACAAGAGGGCTGACGGACGTAACAGTAAAAGGTCTTAGTCATCGGATTGGTTAGCTTCCGACAGAAGGACGGATCGTGGCTGAAATAACAGGACATTACAAGAGAAAGAGGTGCCGGGGACCCGAGATTCCACATATCCTAGGTTATCGGATTGTAACTTTAACATCAGCTTGGTAGAATTGGTGTCAGCGATGAGGAATAACAAAGAAGCACGGTTCCCGAAATCTATTCGATCGGATCCTAACTAGAGGGATCCTAGTTTCTGGTCTGAGTTCCATGGGACTCACGGCCATAGAACCGGGGACTACCGACATCTTCGCGAAGAGGTGGCGACATTGCTAAAGAATAGCCATCTTAGAGAGTTTTTAAGTGACCGCGCCAAAAATAATTATGGCCGAAGCCGGGATAATGCGGAGCATTGAAGACACTAGTAGGGTCGCCTCGGATGACCATCACATGATCTTCGAAGAAAACGAAATCAATGGGGTAACTTTTTCAGCAGCGAAGAAAACAAAGATATCGGTTACTCACAAAAAGAGAGTCCGGGAAGTCTCGAGAGATGACATCACCTTCACGGAGGAGGACGCTGATTGTTGCTCCCAACCGCACAAGCAAGTATACATGGTCGTACAAGTAATATAGGATTGTAAGTCTAGATATCGTACCCACAAGGACTTGTGATTAACTATCAACTAAATTAAACTAAAATAATTAATCTATTCAAGCGATTCCTTAGGTGTGATTATTTAATTAAAACTAATCTAGAGTAGTAAACTAAGAAATTAAAGAAAACACGTCAGCAATCTTAGAGACTGATTCAATGGGATAAAATATTGGAGAGCTATGGGTTAGCTAACAATCCCGTCGAGTTTTTCGCTTAAATTGTCTAATTAATTTATCTGATTTATTGATTGACATGGTTAATATTACTCGTAGTATTCTCCCGAAGTACTACTCGCCTATTCAAGCTAGCCTAACGCCTATATTCTTATGGAATTAGGATTAACAAGAACGCTTTAATGATTCCTTTATAGTAACCAAGCAAGGTGATTAGGTATATTCCTATCGTAACCAGAAATCCGTTCCCCGTAATTCAGGTTCAAGATCTTGCTCTACTTAATCCTATATGCAATCCAAAATTCCCTCTCCCGAGTTTAAACCTAGATTCATAGATTGTATTCAATTGGTGATCAGACAATCAAATAATTAAGTGCAAGACTGAATAAATAAACCAGTACGATAAAATAATAAGAACAATTCAAGCTTCAAACTACAACATTCATGTAGCACCCCACAACTCTAGAACTAATAAATTATGAAATTAAAGGAAGAGAGGAGAAGAAAAACTAGTTAGAAGCCTCCTCCAAGTGTGATTTGCGTTCTCTCCTCCCAAGTGGCATGTTCTTGCCTCCCTAAAGTCTTCTCTCCCTTAAAAAGGTGGCTAACTATCATATATATATGATTTAGAGTTTCGTTGGGGAGAATTTGGCTTCTCCTAACTCGGATTGGAGAGGTTGATTTTTTTCGCTCCGGTCCTGATCTGGCGAAGCGAACCTCGCTTCACTGTCCCAGATTTCTGTCTTCAACTTTCCTTTCGCTGATTTTTCTCCTATTTGATCCTTTCCCGCGCAAGTTCGTTCCTACACATAAGAAACATGTAGTGAGCATAATTTTACTTCAAAAGTAGTGTGAACTCCCGCAACTCACACAAGAATCAATACACAAACACACTCAAAACATGCACTTTTCACCCTTCATCATTGACAGACTTCTTCTGCCACACAATGACGCTTTGGTAATCTCTCTCAATGTTTTAGACTTTAAAATCAAGCTTGTTTTGGTTGATCCAGGAAGTTAAGCTAACATCATACAATGGAGAGTTATGAAGCAAGCGGAATTAACTTGGAACATCATTCCGGCGTCAAAGCTCCTAGCCTGCTTCAACCTGACAAGTGTGACAACCCGAGGAGAGATTTTGCTGTCCACACACGTCGAAGGAGTAACGAAGACCACTCTATTCGAAGTGGTAGATGGAGATATGGGTTATAATGTAATCCTCGGAAGGTCGTGGATACAGGAGATGAAGGTTGTGCCCTCAACGTATCATCAATTGTTGAAGTTGCCAACACCTGAGGGGATCAAACAGATAAAAGGAGACCAACCAGCGGCAAGGAAGATGAATGTGGTGACCGTTTCCAGCAACAAAGGAAAAG